TCTGATGAAGGCCTCTACAAGTGTGACATCAGCGGTCATGGAGAGTCTCCATCCAGCTGGATCACTGTCACAGGTGACACACTCACCTGTCTGTGTTTCTGCAGGTTTCAACATTCACAATGTGACGACAACTTAATGACTGTGTTTGCTTTATTTTAGGGGAACACACCACCACACCTCCACCTACATCCTCTGCTCCTACCTCCACCTCCATCATTCTTTCTCCATCACTCTTTTATCCTGTAATTCCCATGTTGTCATCAGTGTGTGTTGTGGTTCTACTGGTGTTACTGGTTCACAGGAAACCTGAAGGTGAGACTCAGACTTCCTGAACTTTCAGGTTTGAGTTTGTTTAGTAGAATAAAGTTCATATTCATTATGATCACAGTAACAACTTTTATTAAATTTAATTTCCGTTTATATATTTAATTTATATTGTTGTTCATTTTGCATCATTTCAGCAGATCAAGCAGAAGTTGGAGAAGATGACATCATCACTCATGTCATGTACAACACTGTCAAGATAACAAAAGCCAATCTGATGAAGCAGAGGTAATATTTGAATTTACATATTTTCCTCAAGCCATTTGTAATGTAGTAAAGTTAGTTAGTGTTCTTTTTTCTTTTAATCACTAAAGTGAACTAATTCTGTTAGTCTTTGGGGGCTGACTCACGATTGATGCTTCAAGAGGACAATAGAGGAAGTGCATCTGCTTATTTTTGAGATTTGTATCTCTTTACTTCAGTTTGAACCAAACCAGGAAATGGCTATAACTTAAACTAAGAAAAACCTAAACTGGGAAAGCTAACAAGGAACATGCAACCAGCGACAAAGATCTAAGAAAAACTTGAAACACAGAGGGACCAACAGGGGAAGACAATCAGACAAACCAGCAACAAGCAGAGGACAACACAGGGCTTAAATACACAGGCAGGACGACCAGAGGACGGGGGAACAAGTGGGAACACAGCTGGAATTGATCTGCCATAACGAGACAAACGAAGTAGTGATGGGATTTCCGGCTCTTTTTAGAGATCCGGCTCTTTCGGCTCGGCTCACTAAAAAGAGCTCTTCAGATTGTTTTGTTGCTTTAATTAATTTATTATTCACAATAATATAAAATTATGCACAAAAGGAATTACTAACGTAAAAAAGTGGTTTTATTTATATATGTTTATATATAAATATATGCTGTGGCCCCTAGAGACAAAACACGTACAAACTCCAAAACACATTTCTAGCATGAACTGAACTTCCAAAGCAGAGCTACCTAGATCACTTAAATTACACAATTGAAAGCATGTGTGTGTTGTTTGTGTATTTATACACAGGCACGCAAATATATTCAAATAATAAAAAAAAAAGTTAATCTACCTGTTACTATCACACACCAAATCCGGTCGTTGGTACTTGCTGGCTTGTGTAGCCACAAGATAACAAAAGCTCAACACTGC